CGTCAATCCAAATCAATGAATGAGTGATGATGAGAAAAGGTTGATGAAAGCGATGACCTAAAAGCTTTCAAAGGAGCCGAGAACAAAACACTTGGAGGAGGACAAAGGAGTTGGAAAGAGTGTATGTTTTATTGTTCGAGCGGTTGCTTTATTTGGTGATTGGTAAAACTGATCTCTTTGACACTTCTAGACTCACAATGACAACAGAGAGAAAGCAGGAATATTTTCTTGCTTGTCATAACTAGAAACTTTCTTTTACAATAGACAAGAAATAGTTTTCTATGAGTTTTTGTGGTAAATTAGATTGATGGGTACTCTTTCTATGGCTTGTATACTGTAAGAGAGTTTTTCTACTATCTTCCACACCATCTTACACGCAAACTCCTATATACATGTCGAATAAGATACAAACCTTTTGTAAGTTACAGACGAAATACAGTGGGAAACAGAGAATTGCAATGAATTGGAAGTCTGTTAGTTTGTAACCGTTCGTAGCAGTCTATAAATACAAAAATATCTAAATGAGTTTGGAGAAGAGTATAATGAAGATTGTCATACTGACTTATCATTAAATACAAGCCATTATTGATATAATAGCTACACAAGTTGTCTATCCTTTGTTCGACTTTTACAAAGTTGTGAATATGTCTTATATAAAAACATCAATAAAGGCTTCAAATGTAGTCACTATAACCGTTCATTTTGCACATATCGATGCTGAAAAAAGAGCAAAAGACTGAGCCAAAAAATTGTTTTACTAAAGAAGAAGCCTTTCATACTTGAGTCAAGGTCGAGTAGTGTACCAACTTGAAAGCTTCAGCAATTCTCCAACTGAAAGCCACTCCATATTGAAGAACTTTTACCCAACATGACTCTTGACTGAAAGACTTTGTAGTTCCTAAGTTATCTGTCAAGTGATTGTTGTGGAATGACAATACTTGAAGATTGGATATGGTTTCCTTTGACTAATTAGAAACAATTCTGTTCCACTCTCAAAGTTGTCCTTTGCAATGCAATATAAATAGAACTCCTCTGTAAATAGTAATTTTCTGAAATAGAAAGTTTTTTATCTGACTGTCACATGGATAGATTCATTTAAGATGTCTCTTGTTCTATCGATAGTCAAACGAAATTTTTTAGATCGAATATCATCTTTGCAACCGGGTTACTTTCCCTATCTAAGAGTCGGTGAGTTTTCAGTCTAATTCACTAAAACAGAGTTTGGATATATAGTGTTGTTAGTACTTTTGAGATAGAGTCTGAATTGCAAACTAAAATACTCTTTTTAGTATTTGCTCTTACCTTTGCTATATTTTCTCTTGGATCCAACAAGTTTCATATTTGTAGGAGCCATTCATATGAATTCCAAGGCTAGAAATGCAGTTTGAAAAAAACACATAAAAACGAAAGGAATCTAAACTTTTATCGAATTTCAACAAGCTAAAACTCTTTTTGAGACCGCAGTGCAGGTCCTCAAGTTGGAGGAAGCCTCCAGTTTTTGCTGCCATTCCCTTCGTTTGTTTTCTAAAACCGAGGAAAACTCTCTTCTATTCAGTTAACAAAAGATAGGAAGGACAGTCCAAGTGAAACCTACAAACAACTTTTTCTGTCTCAGTCTTTGAAAATTATAGTAAAAGGAGTTACTAGTCTTTTTTCAACAGACTAGAAAGACAACATAGCAGACACTTGAAGAATGTTTTGAGATATTCTTTGGGTAACCACTTTACTAAGTATTTGGACAAGAAAGGATATTTTTCATTCTAGTTGTATCAACATGTATGTATGTATAGTCTATTCATTTTGAATCATTGTTACAACTCTGCAATATTATTGCAAATTGACACGAAACGATTATAAGCCAGCCTTGAAAGCCAACTAATAAACTCTTTTCAAGGAAGACTGTATGGTGTCCAAAAGACAAGCAAATAAGTTGTAACCAAGTTTCAAACATACAAAAAAAAGTTTATTTGCTCTTCAAAACAAAGGGAAGGATTGAGTTAGAATCTATTGCCAACTTAAGAAACTGTTACGGATTCTATCAAGTAAATCTAATCCAAAATCCCAAAAAGTAGGATTATGAGAAACATGAAATGCTCTTTCAAGTCCATTCAATATTTCGTCGTCAATCAGCATTTCCATATCTCTTTCACAAAGAATAACAAGTTCACAATTATCAGGTACTTTGAAAGAATCACCTCCAATAAACATTCCACTGGAATAACAACGACTCTGATTACCCAACTCATTAGAAACATTCAATGATAACTTTGTACTAACGACAATAAGCATACAATGATGATAATCCATTGCACTGGATAAGACTTGATCATAAACAGGATCTAAAAATTTCTTGGCTTCATCTATAATATCTGACCAGCCAATTCCTTCCGACCTCCAACGTCCTTTACAAGCAACTCCAACAGTAAGAACTTTGGGTTCCACAGGAGATTGTAATTTGAATATAATATCAGGACTATAAGAAGTAGCGTCCAAAGGAATGTAAATAGTCTCTAAATAAAGTGTCTCTCGAATAATTTTATTCCATTCAGCATTGGCAAAAGTTCTTCGACTCTTGTTCGATTCACTTCTTGTTTCTCTAGAACTAACAACAGACTTCATATAGTGAATAGGTGATATTGTACTGACTGGAAGTTTCATTTGTTTCCATATCGGAGACAATTGACACAACAATTCTCTCAACTCATTTCGATTCTTTGAAGACAACATCAAAACTAGTCGTAAAGCAACAATTCCTTCAAATACACGACACTTTGAATAGAAGAAACAATCTACTGGTTCGACATCGAGTGATCCAAGAAGTATCTTTTCCAAAGAAGAGATGGAAGAGTCGTTCTTGAAGATTGCAACAAATGCTTTCGGAATCAGGACTTGAAAAGTATTCTGGTCAATAGGATATCGATATAGTCCCATCTCAGTTACGGCATCATATAAAAAGGACTCCGAGGTCAATATGTCATCTACTTTAAACGGTATACGATAAAGAGCCATCATCAAAAGTATATCAAAAACACTTTTTCTATCTTCGTCCAAATTCAATATTCGTTCCACAAATGGTTCAGCACAAATTCTTCGGAAATCGTAGTCATTCATACAAGTCAAACATTCTTCTTTCGATATGAAAGGCTGATTTCTTGCTACTATATAATTCAAAAGCATATTCACTGCACGAGTCAACAAACCAGGAACTCCACCTGTACATTCCAATAACGAATCTGCCAATTCATTTACTGAAAATGAAGAACTACATAAGACATTACAAACCGGAACTTGAGTAGGTGTCTTTAGAAGACTCCTTTCAAGGAATTCAACGATACTGGAAGCGTCCAAAGGTGATAAAGGGATAAAATGTAGTATAACTCTTGATAGCCCAAAAGCCACATCATTCTTAATACTTAAACCCTTGCTTTTCCCAACAACTATAAAAAACAAGTCGGGTTCTTTGCACAATTGACTAATGATACCGAAAAAGTCGTTGTATGGTCGAACTCTACCGTCATGGGTTCTCTTGAAATGAAAATCGTCGAGACTTTCGTCAAGGACACCAATTTCATCAAATGCCACCAAAAGATATTGATCGGAAGGAATGCCCAAAGTCTTCCGTAGCTCTGGAATTAGAAAGCTTGGATAGGGAGGAATGTGTCTGTAGGCTTCATCAGGCTTCATAAACGGTAGACCCATCTGATTACAAGCTGATAGGTACAATAAATAGTAGACTGCCCACTTTAGGTTGCGTTCTTCCTCGATGGGTCGAGTGGGCTTCAACCCCCTCAAATCCACATAAAGCAACGAAGCCCTTTTCAGCTTCTCCAAAAAGGTTCTGCTCAAAGGGTCCGAAGCAAATTTCGACAGAAAAGTTTCACCAAACCTTTGCACCAACTCCAAATAAGTTCGGGCAAAGGTCGTTTTGCCAGAGCCAAAATGATGGGGGGCAAATGGTATGGTCAAGCGATAGTTGCAACTACTTGTTACACCCCTGAGTTGTTCTCTGTTGCTATGAAGATCATACAGTTCTTTTGTCACTCGAACAACATCTCTTTCACGATCTACTACCACAACAGACTCAAAGTTGTCCACAGCTTTCCACTTGTCATCCAAACTCGCCATCGCCAAAGTGAAATGAAACAACCTTCTGTTTATTTCGGAGTACAAATATAAATAAATGAACAATTGACTGTTTGTCGGTCACAACAACAACAAGGAAAATAGTAAAGGATACCAATCCAACTTCTTCTCTTTATCAACTGATGACTATGTCATACCCTTTATGGCTTGGACTGAGATGACTAGAACTATGGAAGAACGATCAATATGGCTTTTTCAACTATCGATATTCTTATTCTCGTATGCTAATATAATGGCAACTCTCATAGGGTACAAGAAGGATTAGAAGGAAGCCAATGTTTATTTCACAAGTTTTTTATGCTCTTTGAGAGTATAAAGCTATTAAACATGGCCCATTCTCACATAGATAAGAAAGTTTCTTTCAGAATTTTCGAGAATAGTCATGAGAGTTCCGAGCAATATAGATTGTTCATGAAGAATTTGTTCCATAGACGTCTCTCTAGATTTTCTGTATTTTATGGAACAGTTTTCACGTCACTTTTGCTTCATTTCGAAACACGGAACTAGAGTATGAACCAAGTCATTCTCTTTTGTAGTCTATTCAAAAGCTCCAGTTGAAATATATTATTTAGTAGAAATGCAGAAACCCGCAAGCACAGCACTGCTTTATTCTCAGCAATCATCAAATTCCTTTCTTACAATATCATGACAAGTAGCAGTTTATCACTAAAGCTACAAAAGTTGATGATAGCAAAAGACAAACCAAAACAAACGTGCTAAGAAGGATCCAAAATATCTCGTGGTTTTATCAAATCTCAGAAACAACATTGACTCAAGTGTATCGTCAATACTCAATTTCTGTAAGAGTCAATAACTCCTGTTTCTTTCTCCTCTGAAAATAGTGGCATTTGATATTGTGGATTCTGTTAAGAGGAGAAAATATATTTTTCAAGAAAAATTGAATTCAGTCGAATTGAGTCTATTCTATCGATTCTTTTCTCGTTTCTCACGTTTGAATCATAGTTGAATTCTTTCTCCTCAATAGTCGACTATACATTTGAGGTGTTTTTGAAGGTAAACATGACTGTTTAGGTTTAAAGGCTTTTGTTGCATCCTCTTGTACGATAAACTTTGTAAAAACCACAACTTTTAAAGATATACAAGAAAGCAAATTATAAAAAGTACAAAGCTGCTTTAAACGATATAACTCCAAGAGGGCTATTATTTCTTCCAATATAAAAAAAAG